TACGCAAGCATATTGTTGCCAAAACTACACTATTGTATTTTGTTGGAATGCTCTTGTATGGCACATACATGTATTGTAGAGACAACAATAACGATAATGATGATGCTGATGATGAAGAAGATAATGAGCATGAAACACGTATTGTTCAATCATAAATAAGAAAAAAGTAGGCTATCAAAAAGACTTCACATGCAGCAAAACAGGAAAAGTGGACTGGGGGGTACAGTAAAAAAAAAAATTGTTGATCTTAAATGACTGAGTATAGAAATAGTACCCATTTTAAGTTTTCTACCCTTTCCTGGCCGAAGTGCTAAAAAAACAATTACTCTTGGTAAACATGGTTTCGATAAGACAAAGGTTAAACTAACATTAGTTTTAAATCATTTGGCACTTCTCACCTCGGCCAACGTAGGACAATTAGCTCATAAAAATGTTCATTTAGTAGAAAAAAAAATTAGAATACAAAAAACCTCCTGGAGAGTAAAAAATTGAGATGCAATGTGATCCTTCCATCAATACGGTACTATGAACTACTGGAATCACTGAAAATGAAATTATCACTTTTTGGTGCAACATTTCCAAATATGCATTTCAATACCAACATTAAACTTCAGTCTGGTGATGTTGGAGGTCTAAAGGACCTCCAGGCATGTAAGGACTGTACTCAGGTGGCGGCCCTTCATTCATTATTTCTCTGTGACTGTTTGCAGCACTGCTCCAGACAGATGGGTTATGGCTATCTCTCTCCGTTGCTTCTTCATAGCTTGGTGGAGCTTCTGAATACGGATTAGGTTGCAAGGGATGTGCTTCATCTGATTGTTCTTCCTGAAAACGAGCTCCTGAGTATTGTTGGTGTTCTGGGAATTGTTCTTCCTGAAAGTGTTCACGAGAAACATAAGTTCTTGTTGCAGCTGCGCTGTATGGAACAATATTGGTGAATGGTGCGAGTCCAGTGGAAAAGTTATCATTTGTGCTTATTGTTGTGATGTTACGATTCTGTCTCTCTTGCAACCTCTGTTCTCGTTTAGCCTTACGTCTTTTCACGATGCATACGCATACACATGTGAAAATAAGCAAGACCATGGCGACTCCAGTAACACCACCAATTATTTTTTTTATTGAAGAGGAGTCAGAGGAGTCATTTGACTCGTATCCTAATGCACGATATTCCAATCTGAATCCAAGACCTTGGGAATCACTTCCACTATGATGAATATGTTTGACTCGAACATATACAAACTGCCTTTCACTAGTGAAAACATACGGGATGTTTTGGGAGTCACAGTTTAAAGTATGAGAGTCGGAATAATGGAAGTACTTACTATTTGACAGCAACAGTTGAGTTCCACATTGCAGAATTCCGTTAGGATTTAATGAGAGCTCAACAACTTTTACTTCAACACTCTTATACTCATACGAGGGCGCAGCTATCTTCCAGGTGCAATCCGAATTCTTGAACATCCATTCAAATGTTTTTTCCTCTTGAGAAGCATTAAGGGTTTTTGTAACCCCTTCACATCCAGTGTTTTTAACCGCTGTGAAGGTGATATCCATGAAAAAATCATGCTCAAATTCCTCTCCCAAATGCAAAGAAACTAATAAATGTTGAGAAAAACTATGACGAACTAATTTATTTTGCTCACTGTCATCACATTTATTATAAATAAACTTGTGGGATTCTGCATCCCTTAACTCTAGTTCATTTGTACAATCAATTGAGTCTCTCTTCTGTCCAAAAGAGAGGTTGTGGATTTCCATTCTGAATAAGGAATCAGGCGATGGGGCAGTGATGCGCCACCAACAAGACAAACTGCCACTAAAGAATTCCGGCTTTAAATGTTCAACTATCCTTTTCATAGGTGCAGAACTACTGAGCCGAAAGGTTTCGTTACAACTTCTGAAAACAGACGGATACACCGATCGATATGTATATGAAAATCCAGGCAAACTGCCAAGGCTGTGACCGGAAGATAGCTCTACTTTCACCTCATCGCTCTCATACGTTCGAAAAAACACTTCCTTTCCACACAAGTTTTGACTATTTACTTTTATGTAAACATCTGAAGAAGACTTTTCACATTGTGGCAGCTCTCTAAAAGCAACAGAAATTCCTGGATGTGTGTTACGCTTCTTAATACGCCATTCACATTGAAGATCTGTCATGATATAGTTAGGGTAGCTGGGGGAAGATGCCGTCTTTGTTGCTTGTTCAGCATGGAGCTCTGTGCCAAGACAAGAGGATGTCTCTGCAACAGAAGCTGGAGATGTTATGACTTTATATTGAGCAAGAAAATATTCATTTCTTGTTGTCTGCGTGGGATCTGGCAATATTCTGACATATACTTCAATGTTATGCAATGAATAGATCCAGTAGGATTGTGATTCATTGTGTGAAGGGGCTGCTATGAGAGGAGGGTTTCGTCTCTTGCCACTAGCCAAAAGCTCAGAAATTTCGTATTGCACACCATCATCACTCCTCACCAGCTTCACACTTTGAATAGATGTATTTGAACTGTTGGACACTTTCCAAAAACAATGGAGGTTCTTTCCAAAAGGCAGGGCATGTTTTTTCAACTCAATTACATTGTTTTTCAACGAGTTTGTGTATAACGGTTTGAATTTCACAGGCAAAACCACAAGCCAAAAGCCATCAGGCATGATGAGATCAGCTAATATCTGTACCGTAACCAGCCAGGTTCCTTTACTGTAGAGAGTCTTTTCACTTCGAGGGTCACCATTACAGTCTTTGGTCAGTTCAAAATAGTCAACATTTGGACCGTTGAACATTTTTAACATATTAGCAGGAGTGAGTTCCTCGGTCCAGTTGTTGTTGAAAATCTTAATAGCAGTGACAGCATCACGACTATTTTCAATGATGTAAGGAGTCAGCCCTAATTGCAAATGTATCTCTCTCTCTCGCTCTCTCTCGGAAGCCAAAAAAGCTTGAGGAATGTGTACAGCTGATGACAGAGAAGACAATAGGAGTCTTGGAAGAGGAAACTTGTCCACAGCTTGAAAAGAAGCAATTATGTCTGCAAAACTATATGTCCGGTAACGTCTTAAAGTGAAAACTAACCGTCGACCGGAACTACGAAACACTTTCATAGAGAAGGAGCATACATTAAAAACAGTACCATCGTCATCTTCAAGATAGAAAATCATCGAAGGCGAGAAAAACCGACGTTTACACAAAAGTGATATCATAGTACTAGGGGCTAGCAAATTATATTCAATGACTTTATCATCAGATCCTGAATCAAACCTCACTTCACAGGAGGTTTTCCTACTTTGCTTATCCATTTCTAAAACAACAGCTTCTGTCAGGACAATGTCAGAAAAGTAGTGGTACACATCACTGCAGCGTGACGATTTCAGTACAGATGAAACGTCAAGTACCATCTCTTGTTGAGAGCCAGATTCAAATCCAAATTTAGAAATGCTCAACTCTACTGTTGTAGACATCTCTTTAATGTAAATATTTTCAGTCCCAAACGTAACAAAATCGCAAAACTTCTTGGCTCCTACTTTAAGGTAATCCTTGAAACAACTTCTATAGTCTGTCTTAGCACCAAGGGCCAAGACCCGAACCACCATCCCATATCCAGAAGAAGTGGTGAGAGTCCAGTTACATTTCAGGGGAGTTATCATCTCAAACGGGTAACCTGGTGCATACAGCAGTTTTCCATGTTTCTTGTCGATCTGTAATCGTGAGAACCCATCACAGAAATCTTGTCTGTCTTTAGAAATAACTTCAAAAGTCATCTCAAACCCCTCTCCTCGCCCGTTCAGGCCGGTGTTGTATACAATCTTGACGGTGCTTGGAAGCCACATGACGTCCGGCCTCTTCTTCCCGCACCAGCTGATCCTGTCTGGCCAGTGCTGGGGAACTCGTGGGTCTTGGTCAAACTCCACCGACACTTTCTCTGAGTTTTCTCCGCAAACATCAGAGCCACCCAGAGAAAAATTGTTAATGGTGAGCTTAAAGTAACTTCCAGGAGTTGTGGATAAATTGAAAACGCACGAGACATTGGAGCCGTTGTGGGAGGGAGGATTTGCCATTCTCAGAACACCAAAAGTTATGTAGTTGTCATAAGTCCATCCGCAGTCTTTTGATGGGTCAAGATATGAAGACACGATGTTTGCTGAGGATGAAAACAAACAGAAGGAGGTACTCAGTGAAGTAGATGGCTTCCCTGGCATCAAAGTAACGTCTTTTGCAGGCAATGGCAAAAAGCTTTACCATTACACCCCATTTGACAAAATGATTTGTCATGTGCTATTACTTAAGTTTTTGCAAGACGTTTTCTGCAATTTTTGCAAAGTAGGGAAAAAAGGATGGGGCCCAGAGGACATACATGTGTCAGTTCTATTGGCAAACCTTATAGCAGGTTACTTACCAAGAACCAGACTATCATAAAATGATGTTGCGATGTATTTGACAATTTTCTCTTTTTATTTTTTGGCTCAACACATTCAAATTATATCTAATCTACTTTAAAATGTGGTAGCCAGTATTTTCACATGTCATGGAAATAAAGTCGATGGGCTTTTTCACGACCTGTAATGGAAAAAAAGCTAGGGACGTTTTCTCGACCAGTAGAATAACCAACTCTTACCGTAAAGGTCTAGGCCTATTAGCTAACATACATTTTTGGGGGGTATCTAGACCTAGTTTCCGATTTAGTGACCTGTTCTACCGCCATTCCGATTAAGGTGTCAACACTACCAGATTAGCGATGGGTGCCGAGAGAGCTTCCAACTTTCCCTTGCGAAACCCGTAGCCCCCATCCCAAAATTCTGCACTTGCCGCATCATCATCTATGCCGCACTATGTGTTTTTAAAAAACTTTTAAGAGAAAGAAGGGGGGGGGGCACTTGCCTTTTTAGATTCTTTGACAGTAGATCTAGAATCTAACTCTCGGCAGTAAGTTGTAGGCCTATTTGCGCACACTCTTTATTTTTAAAAAGTTGGTCACAGTAGGCTATGCTTGAGTATGCCTAGTTTATGAGTTTAGCCGTCGTCAGCAATCGTTTGAATTACCACTTTGCCACATAGAGAGGGGTTTCTAAAGCTAAGAGTAAGCAAGGGGTAGGCCCAACTAAAGTAGACTCAAGATCTAACCTAGAATGAAAATGTTGATATCTATGTGAGGCAGTGTGGTGAAATCAGTCGCTCGTCAAAATAATAAAAACCGAGAAATCTGCATTTTTCCGGCCAGTTCTGATTTTTTTTTTGGTTCAACATTTAGAATCTTTAGTATATATCCATTCAAAAACACTACTATGTCCTGATTTTATGTGAAAATGTTGAATAAAGGCACACAAAATGTAAATTTTCACTTTTCAAAGACTCTTAAGTTATGGAAGTCACCACACTTTGGTGGACATTTTCTTGCTAATTTTACATGTGAAACCAGGCGACTCCACCTCCTTCAATTGCAAATATCTCGACTTCAATTTAAGATAAATGGATATTTATTTCATCGAGAGCAAGGCAAATCAACAACCTTTAAGATGACACCAACAGACCTGCCATGGATATCCCGATTTTTTGCCCCAAGTCTCAAGCATCCCGATTTTCCCGATTTCGATTGCGTGTATCCCGATTTTTTGTCCCAGTCCGCTGTTGTGCCGGATTTTTCTAAAAACTTACTCTGCCTTCTACTTTATCGCGGGAAGCACCCGTTGAACTTTTTGTCAGTAGGAACTCGGAGCACTATTTCCCGAAATACCGATGCCGCATTTAGTAGTTGACTCGCCCCCAAGTTGTGTGTGGTCTTTTCCCGCACCCAGAATTCTCCGATGATAGCTTGGTAACTGTTACAATTTGGGACATTTAATAATCGATAATGTTCGTAGTTCCGCTGTTACTTTCAAAACAAGCCTTGTCCGAGGTCTGGTAACTGCGCGTTCACACCAAACACTCGGACAAGCGAGCGACTGTCTTTCTAACCCTTACACAACTAACATGTCTGCGCTGACAAGACTAACATACGGCCGTTGTCATTGCTTTTGTCTGAACACATGAGGGATAAGAGATTTGTTGGTATATTTGGTCAGTCGGCCGCCGTCGTTATTCTAGAAGTAGAACGACTGTCGCTCATCCGTGTGTTTTGTGTGAACGTGCAGTTAGTCGGACCCGTTAGTAAAATTGTTTCAATCGCGCATTCGCGTCACGTGACCTATCATCGCCGTGCGAGTTCTGCGTGTCGGGGACCGTCCGTTGACGGGGTCAACTTAAGTTCATGTATTTTGGGACTTATTGGTAAGTATAGACACTTGGACTAGGGAGTGCTTGACGCGATGCTTCAGGATTTACAAAAAAAATGATAACTCGCACGTACGTACGCACGCATGCACGCACACGCACACACACACGCACGCAAACAAACAAAGACACACAGAGAGCATAAGGCCAAGGAATTTATGGACACCCCTGCAAAAATTGTAAGTCAGCTTTGACAGTCACCTTGGTGATTTGCTGTTGATCCCGATTTTTTTCACAAAATCACAAATTTTTCTACCTGAGATCCTGATTTTGAGGTTTCATAGAGTGGCAGGTCTGCACCAATATCTCCGTTTGCCCAAAAATTGACGAGCGCCTGATTCCACTGAGCAGTGGCGGTGGGTAGTGACGGGCTCTCGGGCTTGAGCCCCTCCCCCCCCCCCCACCCACCACCCCCAACTCTATCCCAAAGTAAATTAAAGTTTCTTCCCATATAAAACAAGCAGTTGAAACCGTTATGACCGCACACAATGAACACAGAGAGATAAACTTGGCGGCTTGCTCGCTTATCCAATCACTGTCGTCCCCGCTTACAACTATAGTAACCCAGCAGCCAATCAAATGTCTTTAGGGCTCAGCAAAGATGAGCCCTTTTCCCACAGCCCGTCCTTAATGAAACTCATCTCGTAAAAAGGTAGAAGACTGGGAAAAAATAACACTGTACCGAGGGCTCACGCTCTCCTAGCCCTGACAATGGGGTGAAAGTTTACGACACACTTTCCCCCACTGACACAGATACCTATGCGCTCATTGGTTCTTTGTTGGGTGTGTTCAACTTTCTCGACTACAAGGCCTAATCCAGCTCATAGAAGTATTATGTTTGAGGTGCTGTATGTGCATGTTTGTGTTTGTGCCGCTGAGATTTAACAGTTATAAATCAGGTCGAACTACTTGTAAGGCAACTTACGAAGTGCGTTGAGCGTTTTAACGACCGTATAATTGCGTGGCCATCTTAAGATTGCACTGCGCGTTTTAACGATCGTTAACGATGGTATAATTGCGCTGCAATCTGAAGATTGTATTGATATTTTACATTTTTTTAATAATAAAAAAAAAAATTACACTTACATCTTTATTCTTTTACTCGGATCAAGGAACATATTACCTCTTCATGGCCACAACAACGTTCCGGTATGACCTTTGTACAGGCGGCTGTCTTTTAGAGGTGGTCATCAGGGCAGGTTCGACTGTACATACATATACAGTCGAACCTGCCCTGACGGTCACCTCTATAAGATAGCCACCTGTACAAACGGTCACTTTCCATTTCCCCCCTTGCGTTTTTTCTATATAATTTAACTGTGTAAAACGGGCACCTGTCCAACACGGCCGCGGCCACCTTATTTCAACACACAACCCCTGTCACACTAAGCAATAACACCCGTCTAAGACGGCCACCTTAGTGACTCCATTTCGTTTAGTCATAAATTGTGCTTTGGCCCCTGGCGTTGTGGGCGAGCCGTCATAATTCAATCCCCTGTCGCTGTTGTTAGGTAGTCCCTCCAACCGATCATGTTGCGTAGGCCCCTCCCACTGTTGACCAATAGCTACCAATTTTCAGCTGCTGGTGAGGTAAGCGTGTGATCCCTCATAACCCATAAGCCCCGCCCAGAACTTAAACACAAATCGTAAGGGAGATGAGTGGTCACTGTTTACCCAGTCTGTAACAAAGTAACAAAGGACGTCAACATGAACTTGTGACAGAAACGTCGCTCGTTCTCCGAGTGGTGGCGACCCATGAGTTTGTTTTTACATCGCACTCGGTCTTCCTCGTCTGATACATTTCGTTTTATTGTCACCCTTTTGCGAAATCAGCAACAAAATAAAAATTACAAACAAAATACAAACCACCACCACCACCACCAACAACAAAAACAAGAATGCGGCTACTTTCGATTGGGACCTCTGATAGGAATAATTTGTTTTCTTCATCTTGATCAGTCCAGCCTAAGACGGCCACCTGTCTTATACGGCCACTTTTCTCCTTGACAATGGGTGGCCGTCTTACACAGGTTTGACTGTATATATATATATATATATATATATATATATATATATATATATATATATATATATATATATATATTATAAACCTTCTGGCATGACCCAGCTGTTTATTGATCACAAGTCGGGAAAAATCACCTAGCTTTTTTTTCCACGACAGGTCGTGAAAAAGTGCGCATAGATTTTATTACCACGATACCGGTTGCCTAAAAAATATATTTCGGTGTAGATTTTACTTAACACTTTGATCAAAAGCACAAATTGTACATCAGTGTCCAGGGACACTCCAAACTTTGGAGACCATTTTCTCAGTAATTTTACCTTCGCTACCAGCCCCCTTCCTCCTCCCCCACGACCTTCAATAGCAAATATTTTGACTTCTGATCAATATAGATAGATATAGGTATATTTTCATCCTCAACAAAATAATTTTAATCAAGCTTTAAGATAATAATAATATATATAGAACTATGCCAAAAAACCATCAACACAACTTAAATAATTCAGGAGGCAGCACACATGAAACACACACATGCATGATCTTATTATGTCAGCAAACAATAAATAAACAAGAAAAGAACCAGACTCACCTTGGACCAAGGATGTAGTCACAAACATCAGACTAAGGCAAATACATCCCACTAACAATCTAGATGGGTACTTCATCGTGTTCACTCTTTTAGATGGCCATGCATCTGTAATCTGCATAACAAGACAACCTGAAAAGGAATAAGGTTGTTTTTTTTAATACTAGACTAAAAAGGACATTTACACGTAAATATAATGTCAAAAGTGATGTTGATAGAAAAAAGAGCGAAAGGAGTTATCATTTTGTTAAAACAATTTAGTTTTCTTCTCAAACAAGTGGGACATCAAGAACTACAATTGTAACTGCCATGGTTGCACAATGCAAATCACAAACAATCATGACAACATTCAACTAACTTTCACAGGGCAATAATCTGAACCCATAAGAGATTACAATAAAATTATATAGGCCCAAAGAGAGAGAGAGAAAGAGAAAGAGAGAGAGAGAGAGAGAGAGAGAGTGGAGGACCTACACCTACAGATCATTTTCACTTTCTGGAGAGACGCTGCTAAAAATGAACATTTGGTGTTCATGTTCATTAAAAAAAATATATCATGCATTTTACAATATCAAAATGAAAAACAATAGAGATCTACAGAGGAAACCTGATATAACAGGGATGGTGGGACCAGAGAAAAAGTCCTGTTATATCAGATCCCTGTTAAATCAGAAATGCAAGGAGAGTGGACTAATCCAGCGGTATTTATTCATGCCACAAGTGTACCCACGAACAGAAGTTTTGGCCTGTGCATGACACATTATGCGTGCGTGTAGCTAGGATTAGGGCTAGATCGAAGTCTGCAGCACACTGCAGCCCTCTCTCGCTTCATTCGCTGCGTGTGCTTGCAGTGGCGTGGCTTGTGTGGGCTTGCTCCATCACTGCGTCACTCTCTCTCTCTTCTCTCTCTCTTCCTTTTTACACATTATTAACAAGCCTTTGTCCCTGTTATAAGCATATAGGGCTCCGATGAGGCCCTGTTATTGCCGATAATTTTTAATAGAGACAAAGAGTAGGAAAAAACAGGGATTTAAAAAATCCCTGCTATTACCGGATCCCTGTTATTACCGGGCCTATACGGTATCCGCTATATTTTTAATATTCAGTAAGCCCTTGGCCTATATTAAAGAAAATGACTCCAAAGATCATTTGCACCAGCTTAATCTCTCATGAGTCTCAGTGACTGCGAGCATATTTAATCAATTGAAACTAGGCCAAGCTTTGGTTTCATTTTGAATCTCTGCCTTACAACACCCCAAACAACTGACTGAGCGGTAAGCTTAAATTAAATTAAGTTCTTGACTGGCATGTTTGGTTATAAATGTCATTGGTTTGTTTTCAAAAGCATGTGGTGTAAAGGATAGACAATTCACTGTTGCATGCAGGAAACCCGAGTTTAATTCCTAAAAGGGGAAACAATTTATCGAGTAGGGCCTATAGATCTATCGAGGTCTTTTTGCTGCCAGCGCTGATTTGCCCTGACAGGTAGGGTCAGAATCAAGCCTTCTAAAAATAAATCATTTTAAATGTGTTGATTTACACCTTACATGACATTTTTTTTTTTAATCAACCCGCATTCATCATGATACATGTGGAGACCTCGCCTACGATCATACTTTAAGCTTACTAAATTCTTTTCTACTAGATCTAGATTCTAGATATATATAAACCAGCATACAACTGAGTGAAAGATAGAGTTCACACCAATACAATATTAGCCTACAACAGCACTTACTTAGATTTTTAAAAACTTTAATGATTGCTCACAGATCTAGGTAAGATTGAAGAATACCGGACCAGCGGACTGACTTTGCCTATATCTCAACCATAGGAATTCATAATTTTCCCGTTTTTAATATCTCTCAACGGAGAATCTCGGACCGGTAGATCTATTCATTAAAATTTTGTCAGGGGGGAGACCCCCCTGAACCCCCCCCCCCCCCTCTCCTCTTCCCCAACCATCCTCCCCACTTACCCCACTTTCTCGCGCAATAATGTACGAGTGGTCCGGTATTCTTCAATCTTCCCGTCAGCTCAATCACGCTGAGTTTTGTTGGTGGTAAAGAAAAAGGCCACCTCTATTCTCACCCGGAGTGAGAACAGTGCAGGCGAGTCTTGTGGCTATTCTCACCCGGTGCGCGTTCACCAAATTTTGCGTTCACCCTAAACCACAGAATTCTACACTGTGATAACAGAAAAATTGTAGAATTCTGTGCCGTGAACAAACGTTCCATTACAACTGTAGCCTACTATAAGCGTACAATTTTGTCAGTGGGCAGTGGAGAGAGAGAGAGAAAGAGAGAGAGGAGTAGCGCGAGAATTTCCGGGCAAAACAAAATGGCGACACGCGTAGTTCGGCTCGATTCGAAAAGTTAAATAGCCGTAACATCTTTGTAGACAACCAAATTAATTTACTTTTGTGTTTTAACATCATTTTTTAACTTTGTTTTGGTCAATTTGATCGTCCACACCGATAGACAGTATTCAGAAAGAGACAGAGAGAGAGAGAGAGAAGAGGGGAGGAGTTGATCTTGCGAGAACTTCCGGGCGGGTGAGAACACTTTCAAAGAAAAATGGTTCTACTTTGGGCCATCAAGATCTAACTTCTAAGTTTCAAATGAGCCATGAATCAACACTCGTTCTGACAATAAAATCAGAATTTACCTTACTTCACGTGGAACACACTCACAAAAAAACAGTAAAATTCAATTACGGGATAGAGCGGCAGAAACTACAGCTCTCGTTGATAAGAACGAAACCGGAGGGAAGATTGAAGAATACCGGACCACTCGTACATTATTGCGCAAGAAAGCGGGGTAGGTGGGGCGGGTGGTTGGGTGGAGGAGGGGGGAGGGGGGGTTCAGGAGTTCTCCCCCCTGACAAAATTTTAATGAATAGATCTACCGGTCCGAGATTCTCCATTGAGAGATACTAAAAACAGGGAAATTATGAATTCTTAAGGTTGAGACATCTAAGGCAAAGTCAGTCTGCTGGTCCGGTAGTCTTCAATCTTACCAAACCGAATACTGCGCCCTAATTCTGGGGACTATAAAATACATGTTGGGTCAGCTAATCACGCTGAGTTTTGTTATTGTTGGATTTAAAGAAAAATGGTTCTACTTTGGGCCATCTAAGTTTCAAATGAGCCATGAATCAACACTCGTTCTGACAATAAAATCAGAATTTACCTTACTTCACGTGGAACACACTCACAAAAAACGGTAAAATTACTAAAAATTCAATTACGGGATAGAGAGGCAGAAACTACAGCTCTCGTTGATGATAGAACGAAACCGGATACTGCTCCGTCGCTTACCGGAAACGGGCTCGAATAACGGATTAACGAACATTTTAGTGTCTCCAGAGAGTATTTAATTATAGAGAGCGGAAACGAAGCCTCTTTTCGGGTATCCAGGTCACCAGCTGATCGTGAAACGAGGCGCGGTAAACAAAGCTAATGGCGGCTGTCGGCAGTCGCAAGTCACCCGCAAGTGTAACTGGTGTTTTGCGGCAGTCTGCGTCCGTGCCAATTCAAGATCGCACAATTATCAGACCTAGCATTCTTTGCGCTTTTTCGGTAGTTCCCACCCCGCAATTTTATTCACGGGTTTGGGCCACAAGAGTAGGGGGGTTTCAGGGGGGCTTGCCCCCCTGACCTAATAAAAATAGGAAGGGGGGTTCAGGGGGGCCCCCCCTGAATTTTACCATAATTTAATGTTTTGCAGTTGTTAAGTTTGATATCTTAGCTCACCGCGAATCAAACGTATAGATGTAGGTCAGGCTCAAATAAGGGGGGTGGGAACTACCGAAAAAGCACCGCATTCTTTAGCTTTCCAAAGGACCCTGAAATGTAAGAATTTGCCACAGAATTCTACACTTAATTAAGTGTAGAATTCTGTGGAATTTGCACATGTACTTTTTCATTAACCTTATTTAATATCGTTTTTCTCATGTGTAGATCTAGATCTAGGCGTATCTAGATCTAGATTTAGGCCTAACTAGATATCTAGATCTATCTAGATCTAGATCTAGATCTAGAATACCTGGACTCTAGACCTAGATCTATTCTAGAATCCTAGAGATCTAGATCTAGATATAGATGTAGATCTAGATCTAGATCTAGATTAGATAATAGATTGTAGATCTAGATCTAGTATCAGTGTCCGGGTCCTGATTAGAACTAGATCTAGATCTAGATCTAGATTATAGATCTAGATTCTAGGTCTAGAAGGGCCTAATGTAGCGGGCCTAGTGGGTCTACTAGGACCTGATCTAGATCTAGATCTATCCTTGGGCCTTATTATCATAGCATAGACATATTATAATGTTTGCTTCTACACATTCCTACCTCTAATTCTTCACAACACATGCGACAGTGCAGTCGATTAGCCTAGTTACTCTGTTCGTCCCGTCATGCCAGGACGAAACATTGTTGTTAAACCTTGGAGGACGAAACATTGTTAAACCTTGGAGGACGAAACATTGTTAAACCTTGCTATAACTTAACTAGATCTAGCGAATAATACACGTTTTTCTGGGGGGGGGGGGGGGGGGGCTCTGATCGTGGTCTATAGAGTTTAGAGTTACAGTGTTTGCCTCTCATTCAATAGGTCTGAAACATGACTGGGACAGACATTTTTCTTCTCTAAAGTTTTCTCTTTTCACCTCCCAGCTCAATATGTTTTGTCATCTGTTTTCCTCCTCACTTTCTGCCCCCCCCCCCCCCCCCCCTTTTGCCTCCTCCTCTGGGGCTCCTGGCTCTTTCTGCAGCCTTTAACTACATGTACTACTACTGCCACTCATTGACTCCTTTTATCTGACTGCTGTCTTTCAGTCACCTGACCTTATGGTAAGTAAGATCTTACACCTAGCCTTCTCGGATAAGGGCGAAAAATTTCGGAGGTCCCGTGTGTAAGTTGCGCAAGTTAATTAAGGATCCCTTCGTATTCTTAAAATCAAAAGAGTAGGCTAGGCTTTGGCCCCCACCTGGGCAAAATTAAAAATTCCTACCAAAGTGAAAAAATTTAGTGTGCCCCGCCTGTTCATATGAGACCTATATGCTGTCGCAGGCGCCGTAAAGCGCTTACCCCCCCCCCCCCCCTCCAAAAAAAGAAAAGAAAAGAAAATACCGTATTTAATACGCTATAACAGTGTTTAAAGTGATCTGAATTTAAAGAATTTTTGGGGATCACCCAGTATTGATTTCCCCTTTAATTCTTCATCAGTTTGAGAGTGAGTGGGCATTGAAAATTCACTGATAAGTTCCATTTTTAAAAAGTACACACACACACACACACACACACACACACACACACACACACACACACACACACACACACACACACTCACACACACACACACACACACACACACACACACACACACACACACACACTGTAGACCTGGAGAATGCATCCGTAGGCTATGTACCGTGGCGCTTCGACTCCTCCTCTGCGGAACTGACTAGATAGAGTAGTGAACCATTTGTAGTATTTAATTCTTTTTAAAATTGAAGCTTCTCATCAGAATTAAACCAATCCAAATATGCCAGGCAAGATTCAAGTTTATTGTATGAAAACCAGACTGCATCCTAGATCAGAGTAGTCCACCTAAGAAAAGGCACTCAAATGCCTTCCGCCTTAATTATCTCTTTTTAAAAATTATTTTATTATTCTATTTATTTGTTTGTTTATTTATTTATCAGTTGCGACCGCCGTAAAACCTCTATTAAAACTTTTTTTTAAACTTTTCTTTTTTCTTTTCTTTCTTTTTTTTTTTTTTTTTTTTTTGGGGGGGGGGGGGGGGTTAGATGTGGGATGAATGTCATTTAACTATCCAAAAAAGATTTTAATTTTAAAATCTCCAGTAGATGTACTTTCTCAAAACTGTTAATCAATCAAGCACTTTTCTCTTTTATGAAATGAAACTAAAGGAGTAGACCTAGATCTATATTCTATATAAATCTATGAATTTTGCAACATTTAACTGCACACGTGAGAATATGGGCCTCCACAGTGTATTATTTATTGTGAGCCCCGGTCTATAGTATAGGCCTACCTGTAAAACTCTGTGTTACAATCTAAGTTTTTCGCACTCCTACCAAAAAGTTATAATATATTTCTGATGTAAAAGATAAAAATGGGTAATGAATTTAGAATTATCGGAAGGCTGACTTTGGTTCTCAAGATAGTAAGTCACCTATACGTGTACCATGGAAATGCATTGTCACAATTGTGCGCTGAGCAATTTGAACTGTGGAAATTTGCATATATTGAACAATTCTAGTGCTGAATGCTGTGCCCATGTTGTTTACTGTTCCAAACCCTCCAAAATAAATAATTATTGTTCCCTCCTGGCCAGTTCCAAAGGATACAGGTCCTGTCCATGACAAAAGATCAAGTGTCTGCAATGTGATGTGAGAGTTTTGAAGAAGAAATTAAAAGCGGAAAAAACAAACCTTGACATCTAAGAAGACTGCTGTAATAGATCTACTACGGAATACATGTAACAAAATTAAAGAGACAAAGAAATTACAAAGCTTACTTAATTAATTAAGGAAGTGCTAGTTGACCCTGTCAGGACCACCCTTGAAGTTTGTAATGTCCCAAATTTATGTGCCTGACAGAGAAGTATGGACAAAAGAATCAACAAGAGACAATGCATAAGGCAAAGCAGTCTAAGATTAGTAAGAAAGACTGTCACATTCACCCACTTGTGAGAGCCAGTTTCAGTAAAGTGCTATTAAGCCACGAAAGATGCATAACGTGTTCATATTATATAATATTGATTATAAAGGCCCCTGGTGGGTTCGATCTGTCGCATTGTATTCTTGATTTTATTCATATGCCTAGCCTACACAAAACGAAATCTGTTTTCTGTTTCTACAGTTTGTTGCATTTCCTCATCATTGCCTATAGGAGATCTATATGCTATTGCATGCTCTCTTTCTTTTCTCGCCAACTCTTCCCTACCCACAGTACAGACCCCATGCATGGCTAATATAATGTAACTAATTAATAAAATAAGTAAAAATGTATTAACCTTTATTAGGCTATCTTAGATTAAAACTGCTTATGTTGTAAGCTAGATCAAAGTTATATTTAGGCTAAGGCAGGCATATTTTTATTATGCTGGAAGCCTACAGATCTAGATCTAGATGACTTTTTTTTCTTATGTAACTACTGACACTGACTAGATTTTTTAGATTAGATCTCTCGAATCTAGATCTAGATAATCTAGATGTAGATATGTAGATGTAGATCTAGATCTAGTTTTCGGTCTACGTTATCAAGACATGTATTGGCTTTATGCCAGATCAACATTATTTTATAACTAGGCCTGGATCTAGAATTCAATTTTTAAATCTGTTGTCCTGTTTTCTTCCACATGTGTAAATTTTTCTGTAGGCCAGAAGAGTATAGATTGTAGAGGCAGTGTTTACAAATATGCAACCTTGGCCAGTTCTCTGATTGCGCTAGACCTAAGCCGCAGAAAGCTAGGCCTAGGCCCCTCTAGATACGACGCGCTTCGTTTCGATAAGGCCTAGGCCTCGCTAGGCCTAGGCTAGACGCGACGCGCTTCGCTGTCGATACCGCGCCTGGTTATTTTTAGCTCGCGTCTCAGCGGTCACGTTCGCAAATGCACTGTTGTCACGGACCGCGAGGCCTCGTTTCCTGTCTCTATATTTTAGTGTCTCTGGTGTCTCTGCTTCGGCTCTTTCAAAAACATCGACCCAAAATTTCGTTTCGTTGAGAGGCCAGCCTTTCCTGTCGGTGTGGGATGAAAATTTTAGTCAGATAGTGTATAAAAAAGAGACTTGACGCATGTCATGACAAGTACCCCATACCGGCACACATCGGGTTTTCTGCCATGGGTTGGACCCCATACCGGCGCGCCCTACACCACATACCAACACACTCAAATTGAAGCACAACTTCTTCTTCTTCTTCTTCTTCTTCTTCTTCTTCTATCCCGTGGTTGGGGCAACCGTTGGGGCACCACTGCATTGGAAAACCAGCTCTCGCTAGGCCTATCTATTTTTGTCCTCTGCTCTCCTCAGGTTGTCACCCATCGTCTTTCCTGTCCACTCTTTGTCTTTAATGTTGTCCTCCCATCTCCTTCTCTGCCTTCCTCTCTTTCTCTTTCCTTGTACGGTTCCTTGCAGGATTGTTTTGGCAAGTCCTGTGGATCTTGTGACATGCCCATACCATTTTAGCTTTCGTCTTTTCACTGTGGTCAGTAGATCTTCATATTGTCCCACTGCGTTGCTGATTCTCTTTCGTACTTCGACATTTGAAACGTGGTCTTAGGAGTTTGAAAAGAGGAAAGAAGCAAAGACGAAATCCTTTTGTACAGTGGGCCTAAGAGTACTAAGACAGAACTAATGTTTATTGACATACTAAAAAGAACAACCACCAGAACAGACTCACATACATCTTACTCACACATACGTACATGAATGCTTCATTTTACTCTTCATCACATATCACAACAAACTCACTTGAACATCTTTTACTCACACACAAGTACATGAATGCTTCATTTTACTCTTCCACTTCCACATACAAGTATGTATCACAACAAACTCACATGAACATCTTACTCACACACATACATGAATGCTTCACTTTACTCTTCCACACATATCACATGAAGATCTTACTCCCACTCAGGACACACAAATTTTATGTAAAATGCTTTAGTTCACTCTTTGACATCTCGCTCAACACAGCACTCTGTCGACCACAACGCCCCTTATGATACAATCACAACTCTCGCATGCGGGCTTTGGTGCTGGGGGGAACTGAGCACTTACGGACCTGTCCGGTGTGCAATGACGTTGTTGCCCAGGACAGGTAATAATACAGGTAATACATGTAATAACTTAGAGGCCTGAGCCCGCTTCTCTGTGTTGAAACCATAGAGTTCCAGCTTCCCGGTACGGGCAGGTTGACGAACGAGGGGGCAGGAATGGGTTGATTGTACAAATCAAGGTACTTTCTGTATGCCCCCTCGTTCTCCTTAGGATCGATTTTGTGCAAATGGCAACGGCGGACCCAATGCATGCATGTCTGATGCCATCCATTCAGTGGCAATGGTGTGATCAATTAGCTTGTCAAGGACAAAGCAAATTAAGGTGTTGTCCTGAGGCAGTTTTTGGGGGGCTTGGGGTGTCACCAGAGTTTCATCTTCCAATGGTCGATGAAGCATGCACATTTAATAAATTCTGGTTTTGTCCCCAAGAGGAGCTCTGTACAAAGTAGGCCTAAGTACATGTATAGCCAATACTTTTCCTTTTACCAATTTAGGCTTGGTTAAAGTTCAGTAGTGGCTTTCCTTGGTCTATGAGTCTAATTTTTTTTTAAAATAAAAAATATTAGGCTCAGGAGAAGGAAAAAAAACAACCCTTCCGGGACCAGGATTCGATGCCACGTTTGGAAGCACTGAACATTAGACTTAGAGAACGTAGACAGGCAGTAGACATGAGCTTGTACGTTCTCTAGGCCTAACTTAAACTAAGTTAATTAAGTTCGAGTTGCACAGCCACCGTCTTGTTATTGTTATCCAAGCTAGCGTCTTTCGACTTAAACTCGCTCAAACTCAACTCAAATGATTATGAGACATGAACAAGACGTCTACGTTTATGCAAACAATGTCAGAAACAATTGTTAGATCTAATCTAGATCTACCCAAAATTGATCGGAATAAGACAACGTCATAAAAAAGGAGTCAAATCTTAGGACTAGGAGGTCTATAAAAAAACTGAGAAAGCTTCCACAATTCAGGCAGAACTACAGTATTATCATGTAGAAACGATGGCTACTATAACATCTAGATCTAGATCTAATTCTAGTACATGTACTGGCGTTCAGAGGCGAAGCGTCTATATAATCAAATAATCACTGCTTCCCTTCCTAATTTTGAAACATTGTCGCAGTCAAATTCACCCATAGACGTAATCCTCATAAATTAAATGTAAAAAGACGTTCATAATCACCAATGAACAATAGACTATGCCTAACCTTCAAAACCGTTTCATTGCCACAGAAATAGCCTGTTCGCCTCTATCGGGCCACTCCATAAGCAGTCACCAGCTTTGATTAAGTAAGCTTAAAGTGAGGCTGGAAGAGTCAACCAATAGATTTGAAGGGAACATGTGCATAGCAGTCAGAGCTGTTTCATTGTCGCATATACCCTGTTCACCCCTTTCGGGCCACAGTTATAAGCACCCAGACGCGCTGATTATCTAAGCGAACTATCACACTGGTCGAGTCTACCTCACAGATGTGAGGGGAACTAACTCCTAATAATCCTTTGACTCCTGCTACTACACTGCTAGTGCTTGGTTTTTTTCCTCGACTTTTTAACGTCCTATAATCAGATCGTGACCTCGATTGTGACAGCGGCTCCTGGCTGCGAAAAGCTAGACAAAAAACAGCCAAATGTGAAATAAAAAATTAATAATTGTCGTGCTCTACCAAAGTGTTTCGGCTGTCTGGTATAACATGCCATTGTAGTGCTGACATCTGTGCTTCTTTCCTTGGAGTTCGTGTGTTCAAATCTAAAGTTAAATTTAAGGTTAGTTAGAATAAATATTTAATGAAATACTTTTCCGATATTTTAGCGGTTGAACAAGCATACAACATGAATTCAGGATTTGTTTTCATTCACAACTCAGAGTTGCCGCCTGGCGCCTCCAGTGCCAGTAAGATTCTTGTGACTTGTGTGAGTCTGATATATGGCCTGCGCTATCTGGTCCCATTTCACTTTGATTACCCTGTCAAACAAGTCAGCCTTCGCCCCTGCTGGCGTTTCAAATAGCACGGGAGCTATTCAGAACGCCGCGTTGCAAATAGCACGGCGGGAGCTCTCAGAACGCGGCGTTGCAAATAACGCTTGCCTTTTATTAAATCTAGATCTAGATCTATCTAGACTAGATCTAGATCTGTGAAAACGGAAAGGTTTATATATATATATATATATATATATATATATATATATATATATATATATATATATATATATATATATACGTGTTGACTAAGTATATTCTAGATCTAGATATTAGATCTAGATTCTAGAGTCTATTTGTCCAGAGTAGAGATCAAACTATCAAACGTTGGCCTTTGCCAATGTTGTACGGGGTGCCCACTACGGACGGGATCGGCCGAATGGGCGATCGCCCGACTAGATCTAGATCTAGATCTAGAGATCTATATATTTAGATCTGTCTCTTTAAAAAAACAAACGTGTTAGTTTTCAGTTTCAGGCGACCGAGTCGGACGATCGGCCCGACCCAGTTGTAGAGGGCGCCCCGTATGTATGACGTATTAACTGTGATCACCCACCACTTCCTCGCTAAAATAATAATAGAATGTTTTTTCAAGCCAAATGTAAAGTTGTAAAAAAAAGTTGGGACCAGAGAAAAGCACTCATGCAGCTTGTTCGCAATTCCGTTTGACCACGGTTAAATCAGGGTAAAATGAAATCACTTTGTTTAATCTTCTCAGATCTTTGTATACTTGTCTTAAAGTTGGGTGACAACAGAACCTAAAATTAGCCCATTTATAAAGGTTATTGTAAACTTTAATTGGTTCCAATTTAACAAGCTTTTTTTATGTAAGCCGCCTAAAGCGGGTAAAAAATAATATGGTATTTACAGCAAACACCTGCAATATTTAAAAAGTTGTTTATCTCCTTAACACCATATTTTAAAGTAGGCTAGGGCCTACACCTCAGAAACATAAACTATATACATATATATATATATATATATATATATATATATATATATATATATATATATATATATATATATATATATCAAGAGACAGGGTGAGTAAATTTTGGAAACTGAAATAGTGAAATGTGGAGCGCAGGATGTGGTGTCTCTGCTTCAAACCAGAGAGGGTTTACAGTATTACTGTAAACTCTCTGTTCAAACTGAGCAAACTGTAATTAGGCTAGGCTTCTATAAAGTCATTTATTTTTAGTGATCCTGCGTTTGGACTCATGGATGGTTTTTATTTCAAGGTCTAAATAGAGACACTTTTTAAAAAAATTACTGGATCAAGACTTTTGGGGGGAAATTGTATTGGTTCATGGCGTGCAGATGTGCCATGCAAAGTTTCGTTAGGTCAAGTTAAGTAATAAATTAATAAATCAGCTAAAACATTTTTTGACGTGGACAGAAGAAAGTGAAGGTTAGGTCAACTTAGGCCTAGCGTGCGCGGCACCTTCCCGCCTAACCCTACCCTTCATTTGGCTCAAAAACACGTAGGCCTAGGCCTAGCTTACGTTCCATCGTAGGCTAGGCCTAAAACGGAAGTATGTCAGAGTATGCAACATGCAACTTAGGCAGAGAAAGTGAGTGACAAGTGACAAGTCTATATGCCTTGTTTGGCCAGGTAACCTTTGTCCAAAATGGCAAACTAAATAAATTAGGCCACGGCAAGCCTTTGTGAGAAGTGAGAAGGCGAGAGCCAGCCTGGCCAGCCTCAGACTCAGAGCCGTCCTCGACACTCCTCGACGCCGACGGAAGTGGAAGTGGAAGAAAGTGAAACAAGTCTTGAGTCTAAAAATGGGGGACGGGGAATTGTCATTCGTCGCCTCTGTGCACAAATATTTGTCAAGTGTTTCATCGTCTATTGCCTCACAATTTGCAAAGATTAAAGGAACAGTAAGTATAGAAATTTGTGTTCTTCCCGTAATGTACAACTTTATTTTGAAAACGCAGGTTTACACATTTTACGTCATTGTTGGAGACAGGCGCGGCTCGCAGTATCAAATCATGAAACTAACCCACGTGTGTTGCCACGCTCCGAGTCCCGAGTCGAGTAGATATCTAGATCTAGATTTATTTAGAAATCTAGATCTAGATCTAGATCTAGATCTATCTAGATCTATCTAGATTCTAGATCGAGACTAGAGTCTAGATCTAGATATCTAAATCTAATCTAGATTCTAGATTTTAGATCTATTCTAGAGTACTGTTTGGCCATCTCGGCCCCCTAAGAAATATTGTTTTTATTTCAACACTGTGAGAGCCTCAATTGCTGTTGACACAAGGGAAACCACTTAAGAGAAGCAGAAAAGTATCCTCTACATGATGGTGGTAGTGGAATGAACTATTGTTGGTAAGATTGAACTTTGGTGGACCCACCATTGAGGGGGGCCGGAACTACTTTTGGGCGTCGTGTGATGCCATGCGCTGGTCCACTGTTCTTTGCGGCCGTGCCGTGCCGTAGGCCGCCACGGCGCGCTCTCTCTCCTCTCCCTCTCTTGCCTGCATCCTCTCACTTCGGGCACATTTAGTCAACTGAAAGTTTCTACCGTATTTTTCCTCCGCAAAGCCCGTGAGTTGGCGCGAGTGGCTAGACCCAAGCGTTGATTGGTCAATCTAGTCACACGGCATGGCACCACCTCCACCATGTCTCCCCCTCTCTTCACTGGTCCGGTAAACTTCACCCGCACATCTATCATGGTATCTACTGCCTAGCCTTGGCTGGCAATGTGGGTCCACTAAAGTTCTTGGGCAGAACCAACTAGATCTAGATTCTATTTAAAATGTTCCTGGTCCCCTTTTCTTTTCTCTGTTTATTATTGATTTATTGTTTATTATTGATTTATTGTTTATTATTGATTTATTGTTTATTATTGATTTGCATTATGTGTGTTTTCTCAATTATCATTGAATTCATTGCTGTCGACGTAATCAAAATCAAAGTGCTGGAGGTGCGGTCCACCAGACGTAAGCCAGCCTCCAAGACATTACGCAACAATGGGCAATTACGCGCACGCGCGCTAATTTGTATTGTTTGAACTGATAAGTCATCATCCCCCTTCTCTCTCTCTCTCTCTCTCTCTCTCTCTCTCTCTTGGTATTCTGGCAGCCCTCACTCACTCCGCCTCGCGTCGGTTCCTCGGGGCAGTCTCGCAGCCCTCACTCCCTCCACCTTGCGTCGCCAGGAACTAGTTCGCGTAGCGGTCGATTAGGACCCATGACTGTACAGTCCGTTGTTTGCCTAGTGCGTATTAATAATATAAGAAAGTGGCTTTTCTCACCCGCCCGGAAGTTCTCGCAAGATCAACTCCTCCCCTCTTCTTTCTCTCTCTGTCTCTTTCTGAATACTGTCTATCGGTGTGGACGATCAAATTGACCAAAACAAAGTTAAAAAATGATGTTAAAACACAAAAGTAAATTAATTTGTTTGTCTACAAAGATGCTACGGCTATTTAACTTTTCGAATCGAGCCGAACTACGCGGGTCGCCATTTTGTTTTTCCCGGAAATTCTCACGCTACTCCTCTCTCTCTTTCTCTCTCTCTCCACTGCCCACAGACAAAATTGTACGCTTTTAGTAGGCTACAGTTGAATTGGAACGTTTGTTCACGGCACAGAATTCTACAATTTTTCCTCACAGTGTAGAATTCTATGGTTTAGGGTGAACGCAAAATTTGGTGAACGCGCACCGGGTGAGAATAGCCACAAGACTCGCCTGCACTATTCTCACTCCGGGTGAGAATAGAGGTGGCCATAATATAAACACGGTGGGTCCACCAAAGTTCAATCCAGCCCTATCGTTTATTATTTTGTGGGTCACTAGGCAAAATTTCATTTCGTATTTTTGGCTCATTTTCGGCCGGGTCCGGACGAGTCGGCCGGAGGGGTCTGGGAAGGTCGGCCACCCATTTGGAAATGGTCCGGGAATGTCGGCCACCTAGAATTATGCTCCACCCATGTTTATCTCTCTAGTGTGAATTAAAACCTTTAAGACTACTTTACATTAAAAAGGGATAAATATTCTGACTTGGACTTGGAGGAGTAATTAGGATGCCCTAATCATCATGATGTTCATTGTAACTAAGACTAATAGTTTTGTTACAAGGAGCAGAGACATTTTGAGAAGAAAAAAGAAGATAATAAGACTCCACACCTGATAGAGACACAGAGAGAGAAGAGACAGAAATGCAGTCTGTAGCAGACACTTAGACCTAGATCTAGATCTAGTAGATATATACAGACAGACAAGTGGACAAACAGAGTGACTGACATATTATATATGGTCACAAACGCACACAAACTCAAGCAGAAATTCACGCTATATCAGGGAACATAAATCGGGGGACCGGGGTCAGGAAAAGACACACACACACACACACAAAGGGACAGAGAGGCGAACGCACAACACCGAGCACTCGAGCACAATAAGCTAGATCTACCCACCAACGCAAAAGAGCTCAAATTTACTCGGTGGCAATTGACAAAAGATTATAGGAGCGGTTCGATTCCGGTCCCAGTCTTTTTTTCTCTTTCTCTCTTTTCCTCCTCCCGACTGACCAACAGTCCCATAAATTATAATTTGTAGAGCTGCTTTAAAGTTTGTTTATTTTTTAATGTATTAGTGATCATAGCTGCCAAGCAGTACGTAAAAAACGTATTTAGTACGATTTTTGGGTTTGAGTACGGAAATCCGTTTTGGCATCGGAAAGTACGTTTTCAACTTTTCCCCTCTTAATTGCAATACAAAACTGGCTTCAAGCAAGAAAAATTAGAAAATTTATGACCGGATAGGCGAAGTACGGGAGTCAACAAGACGACGAGAATAGTGTCCCTGCAATTAAACTGGAAGTCGACCTCCTTCCGCGAGTGGTGCCCCTTCTGTATTTCTTTGTTATTAATGTTATTGAGCATGCACTATTAAAGCGGGAAGTAACCTACGCAGACCTGCCACTCATCCCGATTTAATTCCCCCCCCCCCCCAAATCTCAAGCATCCCGATTTTCCCGATTTCGATCGCCAGTACCCTTATTTTTTTTGTCTGTTGCGTCCGATTCTTAGAAAAATATATAAAAAGTTCTGCAATCTCTTTTGCTTGGAAGCACCGATTGGACTTCTTATCGGCTGGAACTTGGAAAGCTATTTTCTAAAGCATCTAGATCTTGATCTATGCCGAATCTAGTAGTTGACTCATGCTCGTTATTTCTACTAAAATCGACGTAGTAGTATCAATTTTGAATTCCCACTTAAATACGCTCAAGATGGGACAAAACAGTGGAGTTATAACAAAGCTTAGGGAATCCCAGCCAGACATCTTAGCCATTGGATGCCCCTGCCATCTTATCAATCTGGCTGCACAGCATGCAGGTGTCTGTGGTGTGCTTATCATTTGAGTACAAGTTGTCTTTTGGTATCTTTTTGAAGTAAGAACTGGTCTCTTTCGCCGACTGCGCGATGAAAATCTGTTTTTTAATTTTGAGAACTTGGCAGCTATGAGTGATGAAGAATGCAGGGGGGGGGGGGTAGATCTAGATCTAATCCTCCAGCGTCTTTATGGCAATTTTCGTACACTTCCATCTTTGGTGCCATGCGGTTGGCTATACTTAGATGTAGTCACGTGATCTGAGAGGAATCCTGGTCTGACGTCAATCAAGATGGGCGCCGTACCTAAAAATAGTTTGCGTCTTTCTACATTTTTCGCATGTACTGGCAGTCTAGTTTTTAGACAAACACAAGCGCACGCACACACACTGTAATAAAATGCAAGTTTATCTATGCATAATTACCCCCCCCCCCCTCCTTTTAGACTGACATTTTTTTCATTTTTTGTCTGTACCCATGAATAATTCACTGATATAGCAGATTAAGGCTTTCTTTTTCAGTTGCTAAAATTAATCAGTAGTTCACAGAAATAAATAAAGACAATGCATTTTGCCTAAAAGAACATACTTTTAGCCACTAAAAATCACAAACTGTGTGGACATTTTGAAAAAAATAAAATAAATCGATTTTAAAAAAATTTATTAAAAAAAAAATCACCAACCCTGTTCAATACATGTCCATTCCACTAATTTGATGCTGATGCATCTCAATACATGTATGTTTCTTTGATTTCGAACAATTTTGCCAAGCCTGATTTTTTTAGGTCGATTTTGAATGACCATTATTGACGATATATCTTGAGCTTTTTTAAAATTAATAGCTGAAATATTCATGTGCCTGTTGGTGCAAAATTTATTTAGCTTAAAATTGGAATGCTGCGTGAGTGGGTAGTGCAAGGCTTTTACACAATGATTGGGAGATTACATTTTCAAGTTTCTTTTTGATGCCACTATTGCATTTTTTTCACCTTGTATTTTTCAGATCATAATCATAATACACTTAAACCTGCCCTAATGGCCACCTTAGACAATCGCATGTATAAAAACCCACTTCCCATTTTCCCCCTTGCTTTTTTACATGTGTCACAATGCGGTGGAATCAGGCTCTCGTCAATTTTTGGGAATGTAGAATTATTGGTATCATTTGGTTGAAATAAATATCCATTTATCTTGAATACAAGTCGAGATATTTGCAAATGAAGGAGGTGGGGGTCACCTGTTTTCAGAGGTAAAATTAGTGAGAAATTGGCCACCAAATGTTAGTTATTTCCAACTGAAAATTTACATTTTTTGTGCCTTCGATCGTTTTCAGTCAATTCCACACAGAAATGAGTTCTTTAACGGGCATTTTTAAAGGTGTTGAGCCCAAAAACCCAAAAATTCGATAAAAATTTACAAACATGCGGAAAAATGCCAGTTTCTTCACTTTCATTACTTTGACGAGAGCCTGATTCCACCCCGCTGCCTCACATATTGTAATGACACATTCACCTGTCTTAGACAACCACCTTTCTCAATGACAATGTTGGCGGTATTGGACAATTTCGACCGTACTTGTTAAAATTTCCAAAATTTTATATTTTACCATTCTTTGTCTTAAAAAATTTTTTTCCATGATTATACTGTGCTTTTGTAATGGTGTCTGTATTCTGTGCTTCAGGTTCCTTCCCAAGAAACATCAGTGGACCTGCAAGATGTTTTCTCGGAGTGGATGGGGTATGTTTGTGTTCTATTTGATGTTTTGTTTTTTACATCCTTCTCTCTCTTACACTTTTTCTTTTATTAGAAGTCACATCACAATGTAGTAAATGTGTGTTTCTAGTGGCATGTGTCTCCTAGAACAACCACCAATTGTATAGCTTGTGAATTTTTCTTTATTGGGGTCTCCTTTTTTTTAATAACTCAAACTTTAAAAGTTTCCTTCCATACAAAATATTGTCATCACACATTTGATTTTAAATTTTTTGATCATGTCTCTCCTTTTGGAGCATAATATTGTATAAAGGAAGTCAAGATCTGAAGGGAGGGAAGTAGTACTTGGGCAATTTAGTTGCTGTGCCTACCGACCCAGTCAAAGCTATACCATGCACCCTGCATTGCTGCGAGTACTAAGGGTAAGAATGAGAAAAAGTCTGAAAAAGACCAGAAATATCCAAAACACTATTCGGCTTTGTTCCTGACAAGGGCACCAGAAATGCTATATTTACCTTAATAATGTTAATGGAAAGATGTATTGAAGCACAAAAAAATCTTTATTTTTATGCTTCATAGATTATTCAAAGGCGTTCAATCAAAGCTAGATATGATGGGCTATCTAAAATGCTGGAAAAGCTAGACATAGATGGAAAAGATCTAAAAATTATCAGGAATTTGTACTGGGACCAAAACGCAGCCGTACGAATTAATGGAGAATGCAGTGAATATAAGCAGATTAGAAGAGGAGTGAGGCAAGGATGTTTTATATCACCAGACCTTTTTAACACGTACTGTGAAACTATCCTTAGAAACATAAAATGTCCAGCCCTCAAAGTGAATGGTGAAAATATTATTAGATATGCCGATGGCACCGAAAAGGACCTTCAATCAATCACTTCTAGATACGGTTGTAACAGAAAGTGAATGTAAAGGATTATTGTTGAATGTAAAGAAGACAGAATGCATGGTAATATCCAGAAAAGCTGCAAATCCTATTTGTAATCTCATTAGCAAAGGCGAAAAGATAAAACAAGTCCAACAGTTTAAATATCTGGGATATTTAACATCTGATGCCAAATGTTCCACGCAAATAAAGCGGAGAATTGCAATGGCTAAGGCTAGTTTCAATAAAATGAGCCCAATCCTGAAAAAGAGAAACATCTCAATGACTACCAAGATGAAAGTTATGAAATGCTATGTATGGTCAACCCTTCTATATGGCTGTGAATGCTGGACAATCACTAAAGACAGTGAAAATAAAATAGAAGCAACAGAAATGTGGTTTCTTAGAAGACTTCTGAGAATATTGTGGAAGGAAAAGAAATCAAATGAGGAAGTGCTAGATGAAGCCCTCGTGGGACGCTCACTGTTAAAAACAATCAGGAAACGACAAATTAGACAAATGCAGTTTTTGGGACGCTGGAATGGCCATAAAGGTCAAAGAAGGCAAGGGTAGACCCAGAGCAACCTGCTAAGGGAACCTAAACAAATGGGTAACTGGGAAAGACCTAGTTTTTTTAAGAGCATCCAAGCAAACGAATGAATGAGGAACCATGATCGTCGATATCTGTTGCAGATCTGGCACTGGATGATAATGGGTTCAAAAGCACGATCAATTTGTACAAGGGTTCACACATTTCATGGAAGATAGGCTTATAGATTTTGATTTTAAAAAGTACAATGACAGTTAAACACTTGATGTGGGCTGTTGATTCTTTAGACTCTGTTTAGGGGGGGGGGGGTCCAATAGGCTCTAGCCTGGCTAACGGAAGAGGTGCACAAAGCTCCTCTGTGCATCATAAAACCGTTTTTTTAATGAGTGGCGGTTGCAGTAACCTCTAAGTTATTTGTTGGAGTCATGTATGTCAAAAAGGTGGGACGAAAACTGGTTCTCGTTTTTCTCTCCTCCGATGTAGAAGATTTATGTTATAGTCGGACTGATGGAAAATTTCTTGTCCTTTTCCTTTTTTCCTTTTTTTTTTTTTTGAGAGAGATCATCCCTCTTCTCAGTGCCCTGATATTTGAGAAGTGGAATTTTCTGTTTTGTCTTTGGCTCTTATGTGTGGGGGTATTTTCCTTCCAGTCTTCCAGAGAAGAAATAAGATGATAGTGATGGTCAAAAATTGGGTTTTTCGTAGAAATAGTTTCTTACTTTTAATTGCATTGCCATTTTTATGTCCCATAGTCAGAGACACACAAGATTCTTTTGTAATTGTTACAATTATGATTTTGATATTTCACAGGTCAACTGAAGGAAAAAAGCGGAAAACTGTGTTGTCCCCTAAGAGTCAGCCTGCAAAGAAGCAGAAACTTGAGGAGAAAAGGTCTTGTGTTTTTATTTTTTATATATTTGGTTAGAGTTGGAAAGCAATACATTTTGGACAGGAAAAAAGAGAAAAGGGGAGGAGCAATAGGATCAATGTAGAGTAGATCTTGAGACTCACTATTGGTCATCAAGGCTTCCCACACTTTGTTGGCCATAAGTCATAAACCCACTGAGTAAAGGAGGATCAATTTACCGACTGTGGGTCTGAGCATGAGGAACCATTAATTCTTTTCTTTGGTGCGTCGGCTAAAGATGCCATTTGCCTGAGATCCTGCATTTTCCTTGCTCCCGAAAACTGGGGTCTAAGGCAGATACTTCTCAGATGCTTTGAATGGATCGACAGGAACAATGCACGTTCCTCCACCCCTTTTATTTCTTGTTTTCTGATTGGTTCTTTCGAACATAACATATGATGACAGAGCACGAAGCGTGGCGGGATCTCCGTTTTCTGCAAAATTATGTACAATCACAGCCTCAGAATCAGTCAGGGCAGATCTGCCGTCAGCTGACAAAATGCCTTTTTTTGTTTTCCAGAGCAGTTTCGAGAAATCAACGATTTTCGGTTTTCTTTCAATATCTCAACTACTTTGCACAGTAAATCAATGTTTGAACTCGCACCCTAATCAGAATGTCATCCCCCATGTACAACATAAATTTTGTTTTTTTTTCTTTAAGAAATAAACAAACAATCACGAAAAAAGGTGTTTTGTCAGCTTTGCCTTACACAAGGCGTTTTAACAAGAACGCCTTTTTTTAGATGTTTGCTGACAAAACGCCTTTTTTTACAGTCGGTGGCAGAAAAAAAAGGCGTTTTGTCAGCTTTGCCCTGAACAAGGTGTTTTAACAAGAACGCCTTTTTTTTTAGTCGCTGGCACCAAAAAAAAAGCGTTGTGTGGGCCAACTCTTTAGAAATGTATTTAGCCGTATGCCTTATAAGTCAGAATTGGGAGACAGGAGATGGGGCACAGAATTCATTTGAAGTTTGCTGCCGCTATGTGTGTAGAAATTTAGATTTGTCGCAGGTAAAAACTGATTTTATTTTCGGAATCAGCGTATTTAAGTTTTATAAGAAAAGTGGGTCGCATGTAACCTGATTTCATGACATATATAAACTTAAGCAAACTTTGTTATCGAATTGTCAGGTAGATTCTATGCAGGTCAGCCACTGTGTTATAATGCATTTGACGTCAAATCTGACAGGCCTAGATCTAATAAACAAAACTTGAACACTGACTGGACAATTTATAGGCATTGCGATTTCAACTGGACAGCCCGGCACCATGCTCATGGTTCTCGAGTAAGGTTAGGGGTCATTGTGACGTCAAAGAGGTCATCCTGTCCGGAGTCTTGTCCACAGAGGTTTATTAGTTAAAACCGCTTCATATAACATCTAGAACTCTTCACATGGATGAACATTAAAAAGAAATCGACAATTTCTCTCCTCCTCCCCCACCCCTCCCTTTCTCCCCCCTCTCTGTTGGTCTCTCTCACTCTCTCTCTCTCTCTCTCTCTCTC